ACGTGTGGACTGCATGATTCTTCGATAACGGAGAAATCACACAACAACCACTTAAAGGCGATTGTAGGTGAGCTGCCATTGCACCAAAGCCTTTCAATGACGTGGCGTGATCACAACTTGACGTCACAAGTTGGCCAAACGCCTCTTCATAAGACTAAAGTCGAGTTTCTAGGGAAGGAGGGTCGAAGGGTCGAAGGGGAGAGGCGACGCAGTAGGACGGACGGGAAACGGGACGTTAGTTACGCAAGGAGGGTGGCCCGTAGGTACTACGGTGGGGTGATCCTTGTTGGCGGTGTGAATAATCAGATCGACAGGATTTCGTTGGATTCGACTTGGAGGTTTGGGCAGTTGGAGAACTTGTTTCGTCCAAAAGCCGCGACCGAAAACAACGAGGAGCCTCAACACCAGACCAGATTAATAGCCACATAAATGCAGCTTGCAAGCTGGCAAAATGCAAGGATGCTAATATGTCTGCTAGCGGATCACGCGTGGCGCGACAGATTCCAGATACGCCATCCGTTTCTGAAGGGCCAAAAGGAAACGATCGCCTGCCCCTTCAACAGACCAAGGGTGACACCGGAAATGACGGGGCATGCTCGAGCGCAACGGCCGCAATTTCCAAGAGTTTGCCGCCCCAAACTAGCATCGACCAGAGGAGCAAAGGCGGCGGATTCCCCTCAGTGAAACAGAACACACCGAGTGTGCGTTGCGAGTCTATTTGTTGACCATCGCAAATCTTCAAACCATCAGTCAGGACTAAGCAGCAGTCGCTGAGTTCTGTCCACGGAGAGGGCTGCTGCGAGAAACTCTCGTACTTACTGAACGTACTCTTACCTGGTACACGTGTAACGAAAGTGTGGGCCCCAAAACCACGAGGAATACGTGTGCAGGCGCTTCCTGTCCCACGTTTGCAATACTACCGCTGCTGACATGTATTCCGTGGTAGGTGGGCGCTGGGTGGCTTTTATGCGACTTGGGGCGTTATCTCGGTCAAGTTCGCTGTCTCACGGTGAGAGGCGGTAAACCTGAGCCACATAAGAATTGTGAAAATAGGTCCATTGTCCATGATTTTCCTATTGTTCACACTACCAGAACAAGTTCGAACTAAACATAATTAATTACAGGTGTGCAATCACCCATTATGAACATATGGGAACCTTCTCCAAAGAAATGTGTCATGAGCTAAAGCCTGTCTTGTCTCTCCCTAACATGTGATTTATTAGCCCTTTGTCCCATCATGCTCTGCACCATAAGCGCGCTCTCCAAACTGTTAATCTGAGACTGCAAAAGAGGTAAACAAGAGCATGAGATATCTCAAACATAATCAAGGTTCGCCAAATGCAAACGAAGACACTTTTTACCTGAAGGTGCGTTATATGGGAAATGGCCACCTCAATCATCGTTGCAGTGTCTACTTGTGGTCCCACCGCTCCTGCTGGTAGCGTCCGCCTCAACTGCTGCAACCCCTCGCTGCAATGATAAAAGCTCAATCGTAAAAATCCAGGTGCAAGGGAAACAAATGCCCTAATGTGCACTAAGAGCTGGGAACACACCTTATTTTATCTCGTCTCTTCCTTTCGCGCATGCTTCTCGGTTTTATGACCCCCCTCTCCTTAGCTTCTGCATCAAAGCGTGTCCGGGTCCTAGGTCGCCAATCCCCCGTTGCAAAGCTGTCTGGCAGCTGACGTACCAGGCTCAATTGCTCTGCTTGTAACCTTCCCGCCAAATCTGCACTGAAATTCACCGCGCCTACTGCAGGATCCCCATCATCACCGAGAACATCCGCAGTTGCCCCAACACCCGCTGCTGCAGGAGAGTCGCTGCCATCCAAACCACCGCCATCAACCAGCATGCCGGCTTGACCTCTCCTAGGGTCCGACCTCAGAAGCTCTTGCACCAGGGCCTCTTCTTCTAGGTCAAGCATAGCCCTTGCAAGCATGCAATCCTCGTCCCCAGGAAGTGACATGGTTCGTCTGCTGCCAACACTCCTCGCAGCCAGTGCCATTTCACCCGAGAGACTCGGCATGGAGCTCGACAGGCCAGCGGATCCTGCCAAAGGCGACCCGGAGAGATTAGGTGAACCAGAGGTGGTAGCAGGTGATTCGGCGACACGTGGCGATGCAGACTTAGTCACAAGCAGCGTGGCGTTTGGGTCTGAGCCTCCGCGAGTTGGCCGTGGTATTTCAGTAGTCAAGCTGATCTCCGCTTGCAAACCGCTTATGTGTTGCGGCCTTTGCTCCGGTGGCACAGGAATGGCGAACTCGGGACGAGCAGAAACGTTGGCATTTCCGTCCGAATTTGTGCCAGCATGGGGATTCGAACTACGACCCATCATACCCCGAAGAAACTCTTCCAAAGGGGTTTCGTCCCCAGATTGTGAGGGGGCCCATTCCGCCGTTTCCGGAAGTTGTGATGATGATCCGGCGCCACCCTCCAAGAATCCCGCATTGCCGCCCACGTGGATCCCGTTATCATTAATACGACGACCATGAAATTGCGAGCTGGTAGAAGCTGATATGTCAAGAGTGCTCGGGCCGCCGGCGCCGCCGGCGGTTGCATTCCCCGAAGAAATCATTCCGAACATCTCTGCATTCAAATCGTCTTCTTCTACCTCCTTCGTAGGTATGCTGGTATTACTAGTAGTAGTAGTGTCGCCGCCTTCGGAAAGCCCTTCAGTGCCGCCCATACCTAAGTCTTTCGAGGTGGCGACTGCTGAAAATGGTTGCCGGTGAAATCGCGAGGGCCGACGGAGACTATGGCCAGCGGCGCGGCGATTCGAAGTTGAAGGAAGAGCGTTTGCGGCAGAACCTGGCTGTGAAGTTGGCGACGAGACAAGCGACACTGGCGTGCGACAGCTTGAGCTGGTAACCGCGACATTGTGCGACGCCGCGGCGACGGGATCGCCGACGGCGAAAGGCGCGTCGCGAGGCATGACTGACCGCGGCCCGGGAAGCGCAGACTTTCCGCTTGCAACAGCTCCGCCCGCCGAAGAGAAACTTCTTTCTTCCGCGGCGGAGAGGATCTGCAGCTGCGCGAAACGCGCAGCCTCGGCGGAACGCTCGAGCAGCTCCGGAAGCTCTTGAGCGGCGAGACGGGCCGGCGACTCGTAACCTTGAGCTGATTCGGTGGTCTTATTATTTTCTCGTACCGAGTTGGCGACGGTGGGAGGTACCACTACAGATGCCGACTCGGCCGCGGAAACGTCAAGCCGCTTGTCGGCGCGAGCCGCGGGCGGCGGCATGCCGCCATTGGTGGTGCTGCTGCCTTCAAGCTGCAGCTGATGTACCCACGCTTCGACCGCGGTCCGCTGCCGATGCATCATCGCCGCGAGCGCCGTCTCCGTGAGGTTTGGCGACTGGAACGGGCCGCCCGCGGGTGGGGGATGATGAGTGTGCTGACGAAAATGATGAGCCTCGGTCGAACCGCCGACGCCCCTGGCGGAGACGGCGTTGGAAACTTCGGTACCCCTATGGACGATTACGTCGTGCTGACTCGGATGCGACATGATAATCGCGGCGACTCGTCGATGTTCGAAGATAGTCTACGCCCGTAATGCAAGCCGCGGGAGCGAATCTGGGGGCGACAGAATTATGGACCCCAAGAGTGCCTCCAGAGTGTCTTTCGTCGGGAGGGACAGAGTCCAGTAGAATAAATTTCTTGCTTTCTCGAGTCGTCGGTAACGAACGACACGACGGGTTCTGTTCGTCGACACAGTGCTCTCAGGTTAGTAAGGACTGGAGCAGTGCCGCTGCAAATAAATTGACTACAGTAATCACTGCATTGCGGTGGAGGTGATGAAGTTAGTACATGTACTACAGTCTGCGCTTCTGCGCTTATGAAGGCAGACTGGTCATTTCGAAGTAAAAGCCGGCTAGTAGAGACAAGCAGTGGAGACATTCGACTGAGCTGGAAAGAAAAGCACGCTGATGCGAGTAACTTGCAACTTTCCATGAATTTAGACGATCTCCGCGTAGCAGTGAGAATCCTTCCCACAAGCTGCGAAGCTCGAGCTTCGAGAACCAGTTCAAATAGTGCGGCCCGCCCGCTAGCTAAGGCTGAATGCAAGTGATGGGATAGGAGGAGTTTCAAAATCTGTTACAAATCCGAAAACATGAAGGGCTGAAGACGAGCACGTGTGGCAGCAGCTTCGATCGGACGCTTTAGTCTGGATAGCAAAAGATTCTCAGAGGCACGCCGCGTGCATCTTCTGTAACAAGCTTCAGGTCGCTTTGATTGTGGTGTACAACAGTGCAGGATCACAGAAAGGCGGTGGTGTGCGCTGGAGGGATGCCACAAGATGAGACGGATGAGGGTAGTCACGCTGTTGATCTATACATTTTATGGTACGAACGTTATTTTCTCACATATCAAGAGTGCATATTTTTCCAGTTTCTGCGCTATATTCCTGACCCTGAAAGCTTTCGACCTCTCTCTCAACCTCTCAATAATCCGTACCACCCCAGCCTCCTTCCACCTACACCTTGACTAATTCATTCATCAATCTTGAAACATATTATTGTATTTCATCCCAAAATACTGAATCGGATCAGCCAGAATCATTTTCGCTAAGGGGGAGGCGCTTGCGACCTGCTCCACCGTGTCAACCCAGTGGTTGCTATTCTTGTCACAGTGGAACTAAGGGTCCAATGGTATGGGCTCGACTGGCCAACGTTGCAAACCATGTCAATTGGGCGGAGCACTGTGGGGCCTTCGTATCGAAACAAAGATCTTCGGAAGTAAATACACACTGCACTCAGACGTGACACTACAGCATTGCGTACACCTTCGTCAAAAAATAATTGACCTTAACAATGCATTGACATTGTTACTAATAAAATTGTATGTTGTCCAAGATCCAATGGCAAATTCTTGAAGAATGAGACGCCAACGTGTGTTATGACTGTTGGGAGAGGGACATATAATCACCATATAAAGGTGAATAGGTTCTAAGTGGCAGTGTTGTAAGTATGTGTTCTACACGTGGTAGTGGTACCAGACCACTACTTGGAGATGCGAGCTGCGAGCTCACGAACAAACTTGGCAGCAACCATGGCTGTCATTCCATCCACTGTGTCGCGCTGTGGGTTCAACTCCACCACGTCCCCCGCCACCACATTGCCTGGCGGAGAAAGCGGGGAGGGGGGAGGTGTGGGAAGGAAGGGAGGTGGGGGATGAGAGGGTTGAGTGGCACATGCGCTGTGGGTTCAACTCCACCACACCACGTCACCTGCCACCACATTGCCTGGCGGAGAAAGGAGGAGCAAATGGGAATATATCAAGCTACGAGCGCTGCTACATGTGCTGAGCGTGTAGAAACCATGGCTGCCATTCCATCCACCTTGTAGGTTCAACTCACGTCACCTGCCACCGCATTGCCTGGTGGGGAGCGCAGGGAGGGGGATGGTGCGGGAAGGAAGGGAGGCAGGGGAGGGGGAGGGGGAGGGGGAGGGGGAGGGGGAGGGGGAGGGGGAGGGGGAGGGGGAGGGGGAGGGGGAGGGGGGGGGAGGGGAAGGGGGAGGGGGAGGGGGAGGAGGAGGGGGTGTGGGTGGCACATACAGTGCGGTTTCAGCCCCACCACGTCCCCCTCCACCACATTGCCTGCAGGCCAGTGGGAGCAGAGGGGGAGCGTGGGTAGCAAGGGGATGGGGGGTTGGAGATGGGGAAACATGCACTGCGGGTTCAGCCCCACCACGTTCTCCCCCACCACATTGCCTGGCAGGGAAAGTGGGGAGGTGTGGGGAGGTGTGGGGAAACTGGAGGGAGAGGAGAAGGAAGCAAGGGGCAGGGGGGGGGGGGGGGGGACGGAGAGTTGAGCTCCACCACGCTGCCAGGCAATGTGGTGGAGAGATCACAACGTGGTGCGGGCTCGGCACCATCTTGAACGTTCATGTCATGACATGGCAGAAGGAGAGATCACCTGGCTCAATCACCATCTTGAACTGAATGTTCAATGAATCTTCACCCTTGACGTTCTGCAGAATGTTCACCACGTCGCAACAGGAGAGGCCGCCCCGGTTCAATGTGCAGCAACTAAAACAAAGGGGTCTCTTGGGGAATGTTCACCAGAACATACACCGGAATGATCACCTTTGAGGTTCTGCAGAATGTTCATGACGTCGCGGAAGGAGAGACCGCCCGGCTCAATGTGCAGTGTGATATGAACTTTCACCGAGAGTTCACTTGCCGAATGTTCATCAGTAAGTTCACCAGATTGTTCACCTTTGAGGTTCTGCAGAATGTTCATGACGTCGCGGAAGGAGAGGCCGCCTGGTTCAATGTGGGAGACGCCCGGCGCAAATGCGGGGTCAAGGCAGTCTATGTCAATCGATACGTACACCCCCTTCACTCCCTGGCCCAGCTCCTGATGGGTGTTGGTGGTGAGCAAGGGAGGGAGGAGTGAGAGGAATGAGGTAAAGAGGCGCACACAAGGTGCAACGGCGGGGTCGAGGCAGTCTATTTCGATCGAGACATACATGGTACACCCCCTTCACCCCCTGGCCCAATTTCCGAGGATGAAGAAAAGAGGCAAGGGAGATGAGAGGGGAGATGGGAGGAGAGATGGGAGGGGAGATGGGAGGAGAGATGGGAGGGGAGATGGGAGGAGAGATGGGAGGGGAGATGGGAGGGAAGATGGGAGGAGAGATGGGAGGGGAGATGGGAGGGGAGATGGGAGGGGAGATGGGAGGGGAGATGGGAGGAGAGATGGGAGGGGAGATGGGAGGGGAGATGGGAGGGGAGATGGGAGGGGAGATGGGAGGGAAGATGGGAGGGAAAGAAGAAGGAAATGAGCAGGAGGAGCAGGGAGTGGGGAGAACGATCACTAGCGGAAGTGGATTCTGTGGAAACCCACTGAAAGCATAGCAATAGCAAAAGCATAGTGATAGCATAAGCGTAGCAATAGCAAAAGCATAGCGATAGCGGTGCTAGTACACCATCAGCACCACTCCCCACCCACCAGTTTTGAGTCAACTCAGTTTTGAGTCGACTCAAAACTATGCCCACTAAAAGTATAGCGATAGCGATGCAAGTACACCATCACCACCACTCCCCACCCACCAGTTCTCCAGCATCTCTCGGTTGCGGTGGAAGTGCCTCATCTCATCTCATACTGCTCCACACACGAAGTCAGTGGACTAGTCTGCTCCAGTCGCTAAAAACACACCCACCATTGTCCACACACCCGCACACCTCACCACAGTCAGCACACCCATCACCACCGCTCCCCACCCACCAGGTTCTCCAGCATCTCTCTGTTGCGGTGGAAGTGCCTCATCTCATACTGCTCCACGCAAGAATTCGGGGGGTACGACCAGCTCCAGTCAGTAAAAGAACTCATCACTACATGCACACTCAAAACCAGCACCGTCACCACAACCCATCACCACCGCTCCCCACCCACCAGGTTCTCCAGCATCGCTCTGTTGCGGTGGAAGTGCCTCATCTCATACTGCTCCACACAAGAAGCCAGTGGTAGTAACCTGCCCCATTTGGTACAAGCACACCCATCACTGTAGACACACACAACACACCCATTACCACCGCTCCCCACCCACCAGGTTCTCCAGCATCTCTCTGTTGCGGTGGAAGTGCCTCATCTCGTACTGCTCCACGCCAAACCGCCTGCCCTGCGCCCGCCCCTCCTCGTTGATCGACCGGATGCCCACCTGCGGGCAGTGGGAGGAAAGGCGAGAGGGACCAAAAAGGATGCTTCTCTAGACACGCCTTGCATCCATGCTCGGATGCTGTAGTCAGCATCGTCCCTCACTCACCCCACCCGCCTGCCCTTCTCCCGCCCCTGCTCGTTGATCGACCGGATGCCCACCTGCGAGCATTGGAAAGGAAGGCCACATTACATCGTGAAACACAGCTGTTTTGGTGCGACTTTTGAGAGTTCTCAAAAGTTGAACCATTGGAAAGGAAGGCCACATTACATCGTGAAACACAGCTATATTGGTGCGACTTTTGAGAGTTCTCAAAAGTTGAACCATTGGAAAGGAAGGCCACATTACATCGTGAAACACAGCTATATTGGTGCGACTTTTGAGAGTTCTCAAAAGTTGAACCATTGGAAAGGAAGGCCACATTACATCGGGAAACACAGCTATATTGGTGCGACTTTTGAGAGTTCTCAAAATTTGAACCATTGGAAAGGAAGGCCACATCACCTCGTGAAACACAGGCACGGAGGGTGTTCAAGCTGTTATCACGGAGGTGCCTTGCCTGCTCTGCTCACCCAAACCCCGGGATGTGGCAAACTGGGTTTGAGGCGCCTCAAAACCATCCTGGCCTGCTCTGCTCACCCAAACTGCCTGCCCTGCTCCCATCCTTTCTCGTTGGTCCACCGAATGCCCACCAGAGAGCATATTGAGAGTTGAGGGCGGATGCAGGAAGTCAGTGGGAGAGGTCATTGGTGTCTAAGCCCTACGCTGCTCCAGACTCCATATGCAGGCAAAGACCGAGGCGTGGAAATAAACCTCAAAACTAGTGATTTCCCGCAACAGCGCGGCGGATTTCTGAGTGCATGCAACCTCACTACATGTAAACCGTGTGTGAGGAGTCTAGTTTTGAGGCGCCTCAAAACTAGTGATTTCCGCAACAGCATGGCGGATTTCTGAGTGCATGCAACCTCAACGAACCTAAACCTTGAACCTTAAACCTTGACCCCTGGAGGCTGGAACCCTATAAATCTTACCTGCAAAAGCCGCCGGCACGCTCCAGACTCCATGATGCGAGCAAAGGGCGAGGCGTGGGAATAGTGGTTGCCTCAAAGGCATGGTAGATGTCTGGGCGTGTGCAAACCCTTTGAACCATAAACCTTAACCCCTAAACCCAAAACCTTATTCTCAATATCACCTGCAAAAGCCGCCGGCACGCTCCAGACTCCATGATGCGAGCAAAGGGCGAGGCGTGGGAATAGTGGTTGCCCTCAAAGGCGTGGTAGATGTCTGGGTGCGCATCGAAGTGGAGAATGTCGACCGGGCCGCCCAGATGCTCTGATACCGCCCGCACCACCGGGAAGGAAATGGAGTGATCCCCCCCTAGCACGAGCGGAGCAAGAGGAGACTGGGGAAGGAAACGGGGGCGGAAAAGGAAGGAAACAGGGGAGAATGGTGAAAAATGTCGACCGGGCCGCCCAAATGCTCTGATACCGCCCGCACCACCGGGAAGGAGATGGAGTGATCTACCCCTAGCACGAGCGGGGCTAGGGGGGATTGGAGGGGACATGGGGAAGAGGGGGGATAATCCTGATCTCAACATGCAATATTCGGTAGTATACGGGGTGTACGATGTTACAATGCACTGTTTGGCGCTAATGATAAAAGAATATAGTGGTCAGACCTCACTGTCTCAACAACCAAGCACAACGCGTGAAAGGCAAAAGATCAGAGTGCTTTATGTATCAATAATTATTATCATTATGATTGTTATGATGACTACAACTACTATTCCAATTATTGCTATTACAGTGATTATTTGTTACCTCAGCTATGACTAGATCCACACAGAGTTTTTTTTGCGTACCAGGTATACTTGGGTATATTACCTCAGCAAGCACGAGGCGCACGGAGTGTGACACAGTGCGCATGAGGCGGCTGTCATCCAACCCACAGTCGGTTGATACGGTGATAAGGGTTAATAATACCTAGAGAAACCGATAGGAATCAGGGTAACCTACCTCTGCCAACACAAGGCGCACGGAGTCTGACACGGTGAGCATGAGGCGACTTTCGACCGACTTACAGTAGTCTGATACAGCAATAAGAGTTACTGCCTAGTCAAGGAGCATTGGAGTCAGGGTTACCTACCTCTGCCAGCACGAGGCGCACGGAGTCTGACACGGTGCGCATGAGGCGACTGTCGTCCAACCCACAGTCCCGCATCTCCTGTTGTGATCGGGATATAGGGAATTATTCGAGAGAGTGAGTGCATGTGATGTGACTCACAGGCTGGTGCCTTTTAATCGTGGAACGCAATTGAGGGTGCAGTTAAGGAACGCAATTGAGAGTGCAGTTAAGGAACGCAATTGAGAGTGCAGTTAAGGAACGCAATTGAGAGTGCAGTTAAGGAACGCAATTGAGAGTGCAGTTAAGGAACGCGAAAGGCAAGAACTCCTCCACACAGCAGTTTTCGTGTTTTGAGTCGACTCAAAACACAACTCCTCCACACAGCAGTTTTCGTGTTGACTTTCGAGTCGACTCAAAAATGTTTTGAGTCGACTGAAAACACAACTCCTCCACACAGCAGTTTTCTTTCCAAGTCTGTACCTTGTGCAACTTTTTTCCGGATAGAGTGGGACAACCACCACCACCACGACCACCACCACCACCACCACCACCACCACCACCACCACCACCACCACCACCACCACCACCACCACCACCACCACCACCACCACCACCACCACCACCACCACCACCACCACCACCACCACCACCACCACCACCACCACCACCACCACCACCACCACCACCACCACCACCACCACCACCACCACCACCACCACCACCACCACCACCACGACCACCACCACCACCACCACCACGACGACGACCACCACCACCACCACGACCACCACCACCACGACCACCACCACCACCACCACGTCCACCACCACGTCCACCACCACGTCCCTTCGAGGGTTTTCTTATGGAGCTTAGGTAGAACGTAGAAGGCTGCTGGGCGCCAACCACCGTGAGGTTCGTCAAAGAAGTACTTCCAGAGGCTTTCAGGTAAAGCAGGTCCCCAGGTCGTGCGGATGCGGCTGAGCTGGCGTAGAACCGAAGTCGTAGGCGACGTCTGGACCAGGCGGTAAGTAGCAGTTGCACCCAGATGCTCCATACAAAGCGGCATGTGAGGAAGTGAAGCATCTCCGTGAAGTGAAGGTGTTTCTGAGATGTCTCAAAAACATCTCCAATGCCATTCCGCCCGGCACCACATGTCATCTGCATTTGCGACTACCTCCACCAGATACGACCTACTCCACATGCCACCTGCACCAGATACGACCTACTCCACATGCCACCTGCACCAGATACCACCTGAACCATGAGCCTGCACCAGATACCACCTGAACCATGAGCCTGCACCAGATACCACCTGAACCATGAGCCCCTGCACCAGATACCACCTGAACCATGAGCCCCTGCACCAGATACCACCTGCACCAGTAACCCCCTCGCCTCACCTGTATGGGCATGTCCCCCACGTCTGTGAGCACCAGATACTACCTGCATAATGCTCCAGATACCACCTGCACCGAATACCACCTGCACCAGTAACCCTCCTCACCTGCACGGGCACGTCCCCCACGTCTGTGAGCACTCGAATGTCGTTCAGATCCTTGCCTGCTCGGGGCAGAGGAGCAGCGACAGTGGGAGGAAGATCAGAAGGGAAAGGCGTGGAAAACGTAGGACGATGTGAACGACACTCGCGTGCTACCTAAATCAGAACAGGAGAAATATGTAATTTGATTTGCTATGCTGCAGTAGACATTGCTACGTGAAGTGAAGTAGCTGCTGCTGCAGCTGTTACCTCTCTGTTACATCATTGGTGTTCTGTCTCACTCGCCTTCTTTCAGTTGACCAACTGCTCCCACTCGTCTCACCTTCCTCTGTCGTCGAGCCGGTGGAGCCACACCAGATGGCCTCTCGGATGCGACTCCTCTGTTTGAAGTTGACTTGTGTTGACTTGTGTTGACTTCTGCTGAATTCTGTTGACTCCTTTTTAGACCTTTCTCTCGCCCCTCACCTTCCTGTATGGCCGTGTTGATTGAGCCACACCAGATGGCCTTTTCGATGCGGGGAGGGGTGAAGGGAGTCAATTCTAGTCAATATTAGTCAACCAAAGTCAATGCCAGTCACCTCTCTCTTTCCTCACCTTCCTCTGTGGCAGAGTTGGTGGAGCCACACCAAATGGCCTCTCGGATGCGGGGAGGGGCGAAGGCAGTCAATAACTCTAGTCAACACAAGTTAACGCTACTAGTCAACGCTAGTCAACTCTCACCTTCCTCTGTAGCCGAGTTGGTGGAGCCACACCAAATGGCCTCTCGAATGCGGGGCGGGGCGAAGGCAGGGCCCTGCAGGAAGCTGGAGTTGTGCCCCAGAGGCACCCCGAGAAGACACGCTGTCGCCTCTGCGCCCCCTGCTCCTCGCACCTTTTCCGCCTGTGATGTAAGATAGGACAGCAGAGCACAGACGGAGTAAGGGAACAGGAGTGGAGGTGGTCAAACGCTCCTTCTCTGCCTGTGGTTACCACAACAGGGGCACGGGAGGTGGACAAGGGAGAGTATGGCAGAGGGATAAGAGGGGCGAAGGCAGGGCCCTGCAGGAAGCTGGAGTTGTGACCCAGCGGCACCCCCAGCAGACACGCTGTCGCCTCTGCTCCCCCTGCTGCTCGCACCTTCTCCGCCTGTGATGCACGAGGCATGGAGGGCAGGAGGCAAGGGAGCAGCGGGAATCCCAACGTAATTGTTTGCAGTTAGTATGAGGGGATGAGGGGGGTAGGGGGATAAGGGAACAGGAAGGTAGGGGGACAATGGGGGAGGGGGCAAGGGGGCAGAATGGCAGCGTGAAAACGGGGTATTCAGGGAGTTAGAGGATTGGGGGAGTTCAGGGGGCAGAGGGGTAAGGGAGAAGGGGGGATGAGGGACAGGGGACAGCGGGGAAAGAGGACAGGGGGGATAAGCGGGTCGGGGAATAAGGGGTTAAGGTGAGCAACGGTTACCTTGAGTCGCGCTCGCTCGCGCACCAGCGTCAACGACGCTTCCACCACGCGGCTCGCGCCCAGCTCCTCGCTCTCCGTCGCCGGCGCGCGCGGGGCTCCGCTTCCGCCACCCGCGGCGGAGGCGGACGCGAATCCGCGGCACAACGGCGGAAGCGCACCGCTGGCGGCGGCCGGCAGCGGAGCAAGCGCAGCGGAAGAAATTGCCAGCGCGGGAACGTGACGAGAGATAAGGTTGTGGCTATGGCTATGGAAGTTGTGATTGAGTGCGCGGCGGATCAGAGTGTGCAACCGGCGTGACGGAGCCATGATGTCTTGCTTGCGGGTGTGCGAGGTGAATTACAGGGAGGGAATGCGGCAGGAAACGACGGAACTCGGTGGCATGCAGTGAGATGCGGCAGGATGCGGTGATATGCGATGGCGGGATCGATCGAGTGGAATTCCCGGGATGGAATCAGTGGTAAATAATGGAATCGGGACGGGATAACCCGGATCGGCCGCGGACGATGCGGACCGGACAAGATGCGAGCAATGGAGGCGGAAGGCGTGGGAACTGAGACTTGTGGCTGGCGGAACGAGAAGGATTCAGGCTCGCATACCAGGACAAGCCAAATCTTCCTGCCTCTCACAAGCCGACGCTCACACGATCAAGTTCTGCATTCGAGAACCCCCTCCCAGGTTCAGGAGGAGCACGGAATTTTAGCAAATCCCAAGGCCTGTTCCGACGTGGATGGTGATCACGTGGGATGGGAACTCTAGCTTCCCACGTGGTACTTTTCAAGGGAATTCGGCCCACGTGGTTCCCAAAGATAGAACGATTCTGTCAAGAAGCTTCGCTACAAGAATAAAAACGAAAGAAATTCTCTCACAAAATCCAGGCATACCACTATCTGCCTATCGGAAAGCAATGAGGCCATAATAATATAGGAGACATACGAATCACAAGATTATATTAAGAGATACAGATATTTTTTTTGGATGTGTGTCTTTCACATAATATCCAACCATGAATTCATGCATCCATATGTTGTTAAATTCAATAATGGAATTTGTTCCTTCTTTTTTGTTTCTGTGCGCTCTGTCAAGCTGTACTTCTTAGGTGTTCTGTATTATGACGTGGAGCCTGATCGAATATGCGATTGGTGAATTCAATGGATCACGCACCAGTACACAACGACAAGGCACGTCCACGCCAGCACAGGGATATCGAGGCTCGTCAGAGTCGATTTTCTCCGTCAACATTGCGAATAGTGACGTGTACTGACGCGGTTCACACGCTCGTGAAGATCTGTCTGGCAGTGATCGATCCGTCCACGCGGCCACATGTGCCACGGTTGGAACAGAGTAAGCGTTGGGAGGATTCACAGCCAATGGGAATACTGACGTGGATGGAACGAGAGTCACGGGTTCGAGCCAGTGACGCTTCGCAGTTACACGTGACTGCCATTCTGGTGGATCATGCCAGCCAGGCTTGGATAGCAGCTTTCGCACCGCGATTCGCTTGGAATCGCTGAAGTGCAAACACAGCCTAGCTAGACGAAGGATGGCGAAACAAGGGTAACGATTTCGACCTAGGGTCAGTCAGAAAATGGCTGGCCTAACGACAAAGGGCGAAAGCTGATCTGAGGATGATTGCAGTTGCAGCTTCGTTTCGGTTCGTAGAAATTATGAGGGTTTCTACACGCTTCCTTTCGGTTCCTCCTTTTCGGTAGGCGTTGGAAAATTACTCCTCGCTCCAGTGTTCGAGCAGCTACATTAGTAGGCTCCAGAGATCGTGGAGAATTGTTGTCGCAAACGCTATTTTAGGCTACGACGGGAGGCGAACTGTGGAGCTGGCCACTGCGTCCTCATTGAAGCGGGCATCGTTAGGAGCTGTTTAGTCCGCTGGTCTGCAGCAACAAAGCTGATCTTCTCGCCTGATAATCGTTTCCACGAAGCTCACCCACCTTGCATAAGAGCGCAATGGCGGCACGTTTAGACCTCTCGTCTCCGATAACGTCGTCCAAGCTATCCCTAAAATCGTCGCACCCCAGCCTTTCGTCGTCCTCGTCTCGTCAAACCACCTGGTCGCCGCCCTTCAAAGGATCAACCTCACGCCTCTCGAAATCGACCTCAGCGCCCAACAAGCCCTCAACCCGCCTCCGGCTTCCCCCTTGCGCGCTTCCCCCCGGCGCGCTTCCTCCCGGCCTCCGCACCGTGTCCTCTTCCGCCGTCCCCCGCGTCGCCGCGTCAGCCGCTGCCGCGTCCGCCGCCGATTTTCCCGCAGCCGGGTCCGGCCCTGACGAGCCGCCTTTCAATCTCAATCCGGAAGAGCTGCAGGAGGAGCTTTCTCGCGCTTTTCGCTCCGCCAAGAAGCAGTCGAAGGTGGCGCTGCGGAAAATAGCGGACGGCACGGCGGGCGCTTTGCGCTGCGCGCAGAGCAAGGTGGCGGAGTTTGAGCGTGATAATGACCTGCGCGGAAAGGCGCGGGAGGCGGTGGGCGCCGCGAACGAGCGGCTCGAGGAGGTCGCGTTCGAGGCGGAGAGGCACGCGTTCCGGTTCGACGCGCAGTTCGGGGTTTCGAGAAGAGTGGAGGAGATGAAACGCGCCGTGGTTGGTGCGGCGTACGATGTGGACTGTAACTTGCGGATCCGACAAAGAATGCGAGACATGATCAAGGAGATACAGTATCAACTACCAAAGGTATTCCCACCGTCAGCACTCCGCTTCCCTTCGCCGCACTCCCACCCCCCCGTTCCCCTATCACCTCCCCACCTTGATCCTGCGCTGTCTCTCACCGTTTCCCTCTGCATCTGGGCCGCATCTTGCGAGTTTAAGCCAAGTAACCCTACTTCGCCCTCAGATATTTGTCCCGCGATATCGTTTTCCCCGGCCCTCCTCCCCGCCATCCACCCCTTCGTCCGACGTACATCTTCCCCTCTTCTCCCGCCTTACCCAACCCCATATGCCCCCTCTTTCCCCGACTCCCCTCTCCCGCTCCTCTCCTGCTCCCCCCGCTCTGTCCCCGCCCCCCCGCGCGCGTGCCCCGCGCAGTATCTGAAGCGGTGGGCGGAGTTCAGAACCACGCCGGCCGGCCAGCTCGTTATGGTATGCTTCCCCACCCCTCGCTGGCGCCCTCGTTGCTACCCTCCCCTACTGTCCCATCGCTCTTTACGAGTCCTTGTCCACCTGTGGTCGTCGTCTCCGCTCTAGCCTTGTGCTCTTTGCACGCCGCTCTCGCTGCATTTAACCTCATTCGTCCTCTCTTTCTCCTCTTCCACTCCCTTGACTCCCTCCCAAACTCCCTCACTCTTTTTCCACTCTCGCCATGGATCGTCATTGACCTTTCCACTCTCGCCATGGATCGTCATTGACCTTTCCACTCTCGCCATGGATCGTCATTGACCTTTCCACTCTCGCCATGGATCGTCATTGACCTTTCCACTCTCGCCCGCTTCCCTCCGTCCCTCAGTTCGTGGCGTTCGCGTGGCTGCTCATCTCGGGCTGGCTAGCGCAGATCTTCCTCTGGTCGCTCTGCATCGTCCCACTGCTCCCTCTGCTCGCCAGAGCGCTCGCCAAAGCAGCCTTCGTTGAGGTACTGTTCTTCTCTTCATTAAACTGTCTTGTCTCTTCGTATACTCCTTACTGTTTTTCAGGCTCTAAGCTCCTGCTTCATCCTCTCTCCATCACTTGTATAATGGAATCCCTGAAGAGTCAAAGCGTCTGTCTCTCCTATAGCTTTCAATAAACCTCTGCCATTTTCGTATCACACCCTTCTGAACCATGCTGATTGCTCCCTGATCTGAATGTCGCAGCCTTTTTATGCGTCCGCGCCCTCTTGTTCTTTGCTCACGCGTTCATTTTTTCACGCTTCCTTATTTCTCACCATCCTCCCTTATTTTATCAGGGTGATTGCCCTTCATGTGGAGTTCGTTTCATCGGTCCGCGTCGCGAGCTGCTGATCTGCCGAGGATGCCACCACGTGGTGTGGACACCCAAGGGCTGGGCCTCCCCAAGAAAAGCTCAAAGCTCCGCTGCTAAAAGCACCAACAGCGGCAGCAGCAACAACAAAGGTGCCAGTGGGGGTAACAGCAAGCGCAGTGCACGCGGCGTTGCAGATGATGGTGAGGTGGATATTATCGATGTTGTGGCCATCAGTCCAGCAGGAGCTTAGCTTTGATGAGGTGTACAGTGGGCGGCACCAGCAACAGAGATGATGTAGTTGCCACCTTTTATGGTGTGGCTATTAGTTCAGGCAAGAGCGGCTTAGCGAAGAGGATATACATAGCACATTTTGTTGCAGCAGCCAGGTGGCTTGTGCAACTAAGGTCATCTAGTAGCAAATGCTGGATCAGAGCTGGAATTAGAACTAGTATTTTGTCAGTGTTACGGTTCCAACTCTAGTACTAGTATGTGTATTGTGTCATCACCAATGTGAATGCAAATGTGCGAGTTACTTAGCATGTGTAACAGAAATTGAATTGACCATAGAGACAAGTGGCCATTTCCAATTTCACGATTAGCACAACCACCATAATTCAGGTTTTAACAAGAGCCAATTGTTCGATATAAAGTAAGGGTGAAGAACCCTCTTGATCATCCCGTTTCAACTTTCATTTGTTGCGCCCCGTTAGGGGCACTCCAAAAATTTATGTATGCCGCTTTGCGAGGAACACACACGGTATTCTTTAGTAAAAGGCGAAAGAATAGTTCGCTATGTGTGTAACTCACGGCTGATACTTTGCTCTACAGGCTTCTGAGAATTTGAGACTCGAAGAGCATTCTGCTCGACTCTGCGTTGTGGGCCCATTTCTAGCCGCACGCCACGTGGAATAGCCAGATTTCGCTGTCCAGGTCAGGTACGCAATGGCCACTGGCAGGCAGACTAGCCACCATAGCAGATCAAGCCACACAGTTACAGGAAATTTCAGGAGTTACCAGGAACGGATAACTGCCTCGCGCAATCGTAGGTGAAGTCCTGCGAAGCGCCACCTCTTGCGCCACCATATCCCGGCTCGATACGCGACGCTATCTCCTGCGGCGAACGCTCCCCGCCAGCTCGTCTGAATGTTACTCCCTCGCGTCGCACGATCCCTCGCCGCTGTTCCCGCAACCTCCTTTCTGCGCGATTCGCGGAATCTCATTGTGACTGGCGCTTTGCGCGCGCTTGATTCCGCGCAGCAGCCACTCCCGCGCAACGTTCCCACCGTTTCCGGAGCACCGTGCTGCCTTGGACTGGCAAATCAAACCGTTCCACCCCGTTGGATCGCGGCTGTAGCTCCCACATCAGCGGCCGTAGCGGCCACACCCGCAGTCGTAGCGTCCCACCC